AATTAATTTAATAATTATTATTTCATAATTAAAATTATAAAGAAACCTGATTTTTGAAATTTAAAACATGTTTTGGTAGTTTTGAAATGTGTAAAAGAAAAAGGCTGATTTATGTATTCTTCCCTTTTAAATTTTGTAGGGAAAAGATTTTAGCCTATGTTTGAGTTCCATTTTTTCCAAAACTCATTTTTACACTTAAATTCAAAAACATTTCTTATTTTTTTAGCCACATATTTTCTAAAAAAATCACCATTCCAAATTCTATCCCCCCCCCCCCCCCCCCCCCCCCCCCATTGGGCCCTTTTTAATTTAGGGAAGTTGGATGTGATTTGCCTAATTAAGCAACTGACATTTCAATGTTGGTGTAGGTTCCTGTTTATAGAGAACCTTGTCTTTGCATTCCTGGAACCCCGGGGTTGGTACAGCATGAGATTTTAAACAATAGAAGACATGTCCTGACTAAGGTAACATGATTTTTTATTTCTATCAGCCAATATATAGTTTTTCGTCCTCGTCCATAAATTTGTTATTTATATCTGGGTTGTGCCGTTTCAAGGATACTACTGGCTCAGTGAAATTATGGGAAATTACAAAGGGTATGGTGATTGAAAACTATGGAAAGGTTAGTGATGTGCTGTGGACTTCACATTTGTTTTACTGCAGATTGTCTTGGGAAGATGGGGTGGGTTGGTCCACTGATAATGTGGCAGATTCTTTTCAGGTCTTTTGCTCTAACTTTCTATAGTGCTATGCTTCTGAACTTATTTTACTTTGCTTATTTAGGTTTCGTTTGATAAGAAGAAAGAAGAATTATTTGAGATGGTACAATTTACTATCTTATGTTGAATGTCCAAGTTCTCCTCAGCATTCTTTTGACTTATTTTGCTTATTCAGATACGCATCCCTCAACATTCTGTTGACTTTGTTTGTTTACAGGTAAGCATCCCCTCATGGTATACCATAGATACTAGGCTCGGGAGTATATCGGTGCACTTAGAAACCCCCCAATGCTTTTCTGCTGAGATGTATTCTACTGACCTGAACATTACGGGGAAGCCTGAGGATGACAAGGTACTTCTGATTAGAATTATCTTCATTTGCTTCTCCTGCAAAACTTTAGCCTATTTCTAGTAGTGTGATATTACATGTTTTTGCTGTAAGGTTTTATAATCTCTAACTTTTGAAGTAGTTTCCATACAAAGTTATTCAATTTTAGTATGTTAATTTTCATATTCAAATTGATGTGACCTGTTCATTCCAGGCTGATGATTGTGCTCACTTCAGTTTCACCTTACATTTGCTTAGATGATTTTGGATTTTGCAAACTAGAGCTTGAGTTGGTGCAAATTTTATTTTACTTCTAATGATAATTGGAATTAATCTATGAGTAACATGTTAAAAGCTCAGAAGGTTTTTTTCCCTGTTTTGTGCTTAAAAATTAATTGTGATTGGCTTACACAATGATGTAGGTTAATTTGGCACGAGAAACCCTTAAAGGGCTGTTGTCTCATTGGTTAACTAAAAGAAGGCAGAAATTTGGATCTCAAGCTTCAGCAAATGGAGAAATCCCATCTGGGAAGGATACATCTACAAGGACATTTGCCTTGTGTCGAATTGAGGGGGATAGTACTGGTGAAAATGACCATGTTGTGTATCCACCATTTGAATTTTCAGCAGCTTCCCCTCCTTCCATCATTACTGAGGGCTCTCAAGGAGGCCCATGGAGAAAGAAAATTACTGACCTAGATGGAACTGAAGACGAGAAAGACTTTCCATGGTGGGTTCTGGATTGTGTATTAAATAATCGCTTGCCTCCCAGGGAAAATACCAAGTAACTATCTATCACAATTCTTTCTTTCCCAAGTTGGTTTTGACGTGCATGTTTCATGAACTTTGTCAATAAGGAATCTTGTTTATCTAGATTTCTAGCTAGGCATGCTAAAAAGTTTGTCAAATATCATGAACAACTTTTTGCTGCCTTCTTACTTTTGCTCACAAGTTCACCAGTTCCTCATTGTTTCACATCTATTTTGCTTCTCTTAAACACATAACTTTTCAAACGAAAGATCCTTTTTTGGCTCTCTCTTTAGTCCTATGTCTCTTATCCCTAGGAGGTCTTCCTCCACTAGCAGGTTTTTTCGGAAAACTCTATTTATTCTGGTGTCACAATATTTTTTTGACACATGCCAAAGTGCTGGAAAGGAAAGAATACGTACTCGCCTTTTCTACCAAGTCAATTAACTTGTTTCTGATTGCTTCTTGTTGTTGGCTGATTTTTTTATTTTGTGCTTTGTATTTTATATCCGATCTGTATCTGCAGAAAAGTTTTTATTTAATTTCCGTACTTATTGTTATTTCCTTCTCCCTATTCTCTCCATTCCTTTGAAATTTGAATTTGTCTGCCCTTCTGATTTGTATTTTTGCGTGATGGCGAACAAAAGTAGTTCTTTGCCAAGCAGTCCAAATAAAAGCACTTGTAACTATCATATTCTAACTGTATTAATCTTAGTTGAAATCTTTTTTACATCTTGTGCTGCTACCTATTGCGGTATGTCTGTTACATGTACAAGTTTCTCATTTTCTGCAGATGTAGCTTCTATTTGCAACCATGTGAAGGTTCTACAGTGCAGATTCTCACACAAGGAAAACTTAGTGCCCCTCGCATTTTGAGAATACATAAAGTAAGAACTTCCACTAGATAGCATAAGTCCAACTTGTGAAACTAGTATTAAAGAACGTGCTTAGCATGTTTATCAGCCATCTTTTGATTTTTAACTAAAAGAGTGTTCGCTGTTAAGGCCATTTGGATGACATGCATCTTCTTTGGAAATGGGTGTTTCAATGCTAGTATTTTAATTCTTGATATCGCATGCTACTTATAACTTGATGTATGTTTTTTTTAGAATTGGATTCCATCTTTGGGAATTCATAAAGGGTCATTTAATTTATTTCAGATTTAACAAATTTCGTTCAGAAATGATAAATGTATAGTCTAAAGATTTCAACAACAGATCTCTCCCCTTCAAAATCTTAACCTCACAAGAAGTTTATACTTTCCGAAGTTACAGGAAGCAATATTTGAGCCACTATAGGTACTTCATGTTAATGGCATCTCGTTCTTAGACTAACCATATGTCTGGTAATTAAGGTCCACCCTTTTGAATGCTCACAGTCATCATTATTAGGATGTTCAAACCATGTGAAATTAAATGCCCCATTAACATTTGTGCTAAATAAGGTATCCTAACATGGTTGCCCATTCCAGTTTTTGATTATTTCCATGCAAACGTGGTCAACTGAAATGTTAAATGGTATAGTCTAGGAATCAAAAACCCCTGCCAAAACTGCTAGAAAAAATGCTTGGCCTAACGTGGAGGAATGTCCTCGTAGTGCGATTTAGCCTAAAGAAAAAGTTTTATAGAGCCCGCTCTCAGTCTTTGGGATGAACATGGCTTCCTTGGAATAATATCCTAACTTTTATTTATTCTTTTGCCCTTCTTTTGAATATTATCTGGAGACAAAAAATGGGTGCGGCAGATGACTCATCGATATAAGATTGCACCAATTTATTTTTTAGGTTGTCAACTATGTGATAGAAAAAATGGTTCTCGATAAGCCATTGGATAGTATGAATGCGGATGGAGCTTTTGCCCCTGGGATACCTGGAGGTCAGATTTCGCATCCAGGTGTTGGAGGAGATGGGTCTTTCTGGTCTGGACTGAAGTCTCGACAAAAACTGAAGCCCTCTATAGAGATCTTGTGTAATAACCAGGCAAGTTTGCGATATCTGGGATATCTTGTATACTCTGAAAACCTGGTTTAAGTACTTGAAATGAGAGATTTGAAAGCTTTTGCATTTGTGAAACTCAATATTATGTTATTTTTACCTTTGACTGTTGGATGAGTATCATGTTTAAAGATTCACCTGAACTACTAACTTTACATGCGCCTAACAAATCTCGAATGTAAATGATATGAGTTGGCAAAGTTATTGCTCCCAAAATGTAAGAATATGGGGGCTTATGACGGATCTTATCTAAGTGCAGTTTGCTGTTCCTTTATTTCCCCCTTTTCTCCTCCCTTTCAACTCATTCATCTTTGGGTTAATGATTATGAATGCACTTTTCCAATCTAAGATATTGGTTTTGTGCATAATATTCTTTATTGTGTTTTTTCCCTTGCAAGTAAATGAACTTCTGTTGTTCCCAGGTATTACCCCCTGACATGAGCTTAGCCACTGTTCGGGCTTACATATGGAAGAAGCCTGAAGACCTTATCCTCAACTACAGAGTGGTGCTGGGCAGGTGATGGATGGCAATTTAAAGGTGATACTGCATATGAGGTGTTTTCTGATTATCATATTCTGTCTTGTTTGCATCTTTTACTCATCAGCCTCTTTGTGAGTTTGAATTTTGTTGTGATGGTTGTAACTTGTATGATCAAAGGTGGCAATCTGGAAACGAAACTGGAACCAATACATCGTAGCTATCTGCTAACATTTCTATAGGTTGGTAACATTGGTTTACTAATTTCCACTGGGCATGTTGGGTTAGGTTTTTTAATCTGCTGACTACCAGGGTTAAAAATGAGTTTTTGTGGATCCAAAACAGTTTTCTAACGTATGCTTCTAATGACTTGTTAAACTCTTTTTTAGTGCAAGGATACATCTTGAGGTTAGTGGAACAACTGCTTAGTGTATGGTCACTACTTACTGGAGTTCATTTCTGTTAAAAGAAACTACAATAAATTCCCCTGAAAGGTGGTAAGATAAGGTTATAACTCGGTGTTTCAGTTTGAAGGAATGTAAGCCCTAAACTGAGTAATTGGGAATTGAGACGGTTTTATTTATTTTTATAGAATAGAAGAAATAACATATATGGTGCTTGAAGTTAATGTCAATTACAGAACTCTTTTTTATTAGTGTGTGGAGTCATCTTGAGGGGCAACTGATTAGTCATAAGAGACTGCTTACCGGCATTCATTTTTGTTAGAAGGAACTACAATCAAGTCCCTAAATATGGTAAGTTATGGTTTTCTTTTACAGAGTAGATGGAAACCTTGTCAGCATGTTTGGGAGTTGTTTATAATCAATTTAAATAGTGGGTAAGTAGGTGGTACTTGTGGATCCCACGAAATACATGGATAAAAAGCATTTAACCAATTATGAATATATTATAAACAAGAGGCAAACAAGGATGTATGTGTCCTTGGAATAACTTTGGTATAGAAAAGATGAAGCCAAAAAAATGAAAGACACTAAAAATTTGGGTTAGACCCATTCCAACACAACCTTTTGAAGTGATAGAGCCTGTCCAACCCCTTTTTTCTCAATTCTCTTTTCAACTTTTCCAGATCCAGCCGAACTGCCTATTTGCTACATCTAGTATGTGATGATATGGGATTTGGATGTATTGTAAACAACAAAGGTGATTGTTTTGTCATCTATGGTGACATGGCAGTAGTTTATCAATTATAAAATTCCGTCCATTATTGTTTGCATAGTATCTTCCATTCTTTAACGTTTTGGAAATGTATATTGTCATTTACAGTATTTAGATGTTTAAAACTCTAGTTATGTATTGTATCCTCCCACAATGTGGAATTTGACACCGTCTGCTTTTTTCATGTCCTTGTCTCATGTAGGATCAAATTGGTTATGTTTGTGGAGTTAATTTCTGCTTGTAATATACTCAAGATTGTGCATTCTTCTGGCGCGATTCTTGCTGTGGTCATAAATTATTTAAGCCGTCTTCTGAATCCAGTAAACCAATCTTTGCTATATTTAGCAACATCCCCAAATTTATACTGGTAGGTAATGCCTGAGTCGGGTGGCTGCTATTTAGGAATTCTGAATTTGGAATTTTGTGATACTGGCATGGTTTCTCAAGCTCTCTGGAAATGTGGCATCAGCTAGACTTGCATGTGGTGAAAGAATTTTTTCGATTTTGAGATCTGCAAGGAGGTCCTCCAAGAGATGCTAATCCAAGGATGCCCAAGGATTTGTATTATTAGAGGGGTACGGACTCTACAGTATCTTTGCAAAAACCGAACTGTTTGTCAAGATGATTAATTTTCCTAGAAATAAAACATTTGCCCTCCACCAAGGCACCAACCATGTCGTTTTTTTTCTTTGCATTTTTAATCAATTGTTTTGAATGTAGTATTTGTAATATTTATTTTCTTCATAGAGTTATAATTTAAATGAAGTCATTCTTGAATTTGTCGATTAAGAAAAATGAGTATTTTGTAAATGGTACCATGTGTCAAAGGATTGAATGAATTAAAGGCTCTTCAAAAAAATAAAGAAAAGAAATTGTTACGCTTCATGCAATGACACGTGATGGCCACATCGTAAGTGAACATAGGCTCGCATTTCACATCACTATCCCATCTGGACTATCCTAGGCCCCTTTGATGGTCGAGGTGATGAACTTGTTGAACCTCCATGTACAAGTTGAACCTCAATGGACGAGGTGAGGCAATGCAATGCGATGCGATGCATCACCAATCAGGGGGGAGTAGCCTCTAGGCATACGAAGCACCTTCCTTGGAAGATTCTTCGTACAAAGATCTATTATTAATTGATGCAACTTCTTTGCAATAATCACTCCATCAAGTTAATTTGTCAACCTACTCTTTTCTTGTCAAGTCTAGACCGTAAGGTGGTTAATGGTCAAAAACATTAAATGCGTTTGAGCCTAGGACGAATAGAATGACGCTTATGACAAGACATTTCGATTGTTCAGATAATGTCACGTGTTTTTTAATCCAATGATAACCATTCCACCCTTCCTACTATAAAGGCTCATACATTGAGTCATTTGAAGTTAATATGATTTTACACACTCAGCCGTAAAATTGCTATCTTGTTTTCTTCTATATCGGTTCTACTCTAACCTCCGTTATCCGAACAACTTTGTGGTTCATGTTTTCAGCACATCCCGCACCCAAATTCGTTCATACAAGTTAATTTTCTTGATTGTCGAAGTGCACACGGTCATTCTCCCACCTCCAAAGAAGATCACATGTTCCTGACGGTTTGTCCAAATGTGCAAGAAAAAGACTATGTTAACGTGAGTGGGGTCAGGATCTATTGGTCACGTCATTCATGCATAAATCTAGGTCAACAGATCCAATGAAAAAAGTCGAGTTTTAACATGCATACATATGTTCCCGTAAACCTCCTAATTTAGTTAAAATAATTATTTTTCAGTTTGCATTTACAACCCAACTCAGTCCAATTTGCTTCGCCAAAGCTCTACTTTCTATCTGCTTCCGTGTTTTGACTGCATCATCAACTCTTCCTACTTTAGAATACATATTGGATAGAGTGACATAGTGTCCAGCATTTTCAGGCTCCAACTTCACTAAATGCTCCGAAGCTAAAATCGCAACACTTGCTTTCTGATACGATAGAGAGGCAGCAAGCACACAACCCCAAATATGCTTATCAGCCATGACAGGCATTCTCATAATGAACTCAACAGCATCCTCTACCCGACCCGCACGTGCTAGTAAATCAATAAGACAAGCATAATGTTCCATTCCGGGGTTGAGTGCAAAAATCTCAGTCATATTGTTATAAATTTCCAGACCCTGTTCTATGAGACCTGAATGACTACATGCTGATAGCACAGATGTGAATGTGAAGGAATTGGGGCGAATCCCGGAATTTCTCATCTCCTGCAGCAGTTGCAGAGCTTCTCTGCCAAGTCCATGTTTCCCGAATCCTCCAATCATTGTGTTCCAAGAGACCAAATCTTTATTATCCATTTGACAAAATACAGAATATGCAGTTGTAATGCAACCATGTTGAGCATACATGTGAATCAGAGCATTCCAAACTGGGATAGCAGAAGCAGAACTGCCTTTCTTGATGTGGGCATGAATTTGCTTCCCGGATTTCAATTCACAAGCAGGCAAAATGGTGGAAAATGTGGTGTGGTCACCCTTGATTCCCATTCTTTGCATTTCTCGGAAACACTTTACAGCCAAATTTCCCATCCCTCTATCCCCATAACCAAGAATCATAGCATTCCAAGCGACGACATCACGTTTATCCATCAACCTGAATACACGCTCTGCATCATGAATTCTTCCACATTTAGCATATGTCTTCAACAATGCAGGTCCAGGTGATTTGTAAAATGCGCACCCATAATCCATTTTAGTGCCATATGCATGAATTTCCTGTCCAAATCTTAGTGCTAACATATGTTGACAAGAAGCAAGGATGCTGGAAATACAATCTAAATCAGCATGAACTCCTTGTGAAATCATATCCCTGAAAATCCCCAAAGCACTTTCGTGTTTTCCAGTTCTTGAATATCCCGATATCAATGTTGTCCACGAGATTATACTGGGCTCCTCAATCTGACTAAATATTTTCCAAGCCTCATCACATTGGCCCATGCGACAATAAGCATCCATCATAGTGTTCCAAGTTACTGTATCAGGCTCAACACTATTCAATCTCATTAATCCTAACATTTCCACAGGCATTTGAAGAATCCCATTATAAACATACCCTGAAATCATTGAATTCCATGACAGCAAATCTCTTCCCGCCATTGAATCAAAAACCTGTCTTGCACTCTCAATATACCCAGATTTTGAATACATATCAATCAAACAGTTACAAACTTCTATATTTGATTCGGCCCCACACTGAATCACGTCTTTCTGTATTTGGACTCCCGTTCCTAAACATGTTGCCATCGTGCACGCCCTTAGAACCTTGGGAAATACATATCCGTCAGGTAAAACATTCTTCGTCTTCATCCCAATGTAAGCACCAATGCATTCATCAAACATCCCATTGCGAGAATAAAATGAAATTAGTGAGGTCCACGCGAAAACATTTGGTTGAGGCAATCTGTCGAACAATATGCGGGATGATTCTATGTCATTGCAATCTGCGTAATACAAAATTAATTTGGTGGTAACAAATGGATTGTGGTGTAGCCCTTGAACTATGATTTGTTGATGTGTTTGTTTTCCTGGGTTCAATGATCTGGAGTTGATGCAGAGTTTAAGTAAATGGTTGAAACTAGGAACGGTAAGGGACGAAATTGTTCTTTGAAATTTCCATACTCTCATCTCATTTCAACTTTTTCCTGGGCAATAAAGCTGATTTTGAACAAATTGAATTTGAAGGCGAATAAAAATCAAAGTGATTTTGCTTGATCTGGTTGTCAGGTGCTTGATATTTTTATTTATGTATCAAATTGTCTACAAAACCATTTCCATGTACTGTTGTTTAGGACTGTTGAAGCATGGTACCAGGCAGCAGGAGCCATTTAGAGTTGTTCAATGAAATTAAGATGCATTGGACAAGTCAAGGAGGACCCCACATCGGTGCTAAATAAGCACTAAATAGCATTATCTTGTATTGTTGCGTGTTGGTGACTGGGTGAACCCGAGCCCCCGAACCATAAAGTTATGAAACGTGAAGAACAAATGTTTGAAGAAACATACTAACAATCTTTGACCATGAATTACTAGCATACAACAAGAAAATCTACCAAGTCAAGATTCAATCCCAAATGATTGAAGAAAAGGAACAATCGAATAAATTGTCTCTCAAATGGATACACCTTTCCTTGAAAAAAAAAATGCCTCCGAAATATTTCCATATGCGGTGGCAAATTCATATCCCATAAAGAATGTATGGTCTACGGAGAATACCCTGTTCTCCGCTTCTCTTTGGCAATGCTTCGTAGTGCCATCATTAACATTGGGTTAGTATCTCTGCACCATTCTCGGTTATTAAGATGGTATGCTCGAATTGAGCCGACAGGCTCCCATCCTCTGTCACCACAGTCCAATTATCATCCCACATTATTGGGTTGATGCTGCCAATTGTCAGCATCGGTTCTGCAGTGACAAATTTCTTATCATTGATCCAATATACCTTGAGCGAAACAATGAATATCATTATAAAGCCTACCAAATAATATAAAATCAATAGAGCAAAGCAATGAATTCAATCATTTCAGTTTTCATTAAAGCTGAAAACTTTTTAGTATGTTACTGCTAGTAACTTCTTGATCCTTCAAAGTGCTGGCTTTTACAAGCCGTCCTTCTAGAAACCCATAGTCCAAGGAAATTAAGAAGTCCAAAGGAACAAGTCATGAATGAATGTGTTAGACTGTGTCCATGAGACAGTAATACTCGATTGGCCTTTCCTCGATTCTCCTACCTTTGATAGGAGAGCAGGAATGCATCATCAGTATATAGCACAAACCAATTTGCAATCATTATTATGTATAAATTCATAATTTTTGAGATCTCGGCCCGATACATTTGTACATCATCAGCACCATGAGATGTAAATGTACTTCACTGAGGACAAAAGCATTAGACTAGAAGATATATTACCAATTGTGAAAGTCTGGTTCAGCACCATGCGTCCACGACCATTGTTCCCTATGAAAACCAACATCAAGATGATAAAAAAGTGTTACATATAGATAGAAGTCAGATAACCTCTTGGGGACATGAGAGAGAGGGATGCAGTGTGCTTCAGCAAGGGAAGCAAAATAAAAGTAATGACAAGGCCACGCAACAGAAATGCTGATTTTCTATTGTTTTCCCCACTCCAGAGGGCCAGTGCTTTCAGTCTATAGTGTTCTATTTGTCCTGCCATTATCTTGCTACCTCATTGTTATGTAGCTTGTTCAATGTGTGTGGGTGTGTATTTTTATAATTATGAAAACTCCATTGCCGTTCATGTAAGCCAAACATTTTAGCATCAGTATGTAGGTTGTTTGAAGAAGGATATATCTAAATTACCAAAAATTCGTTGCTGTTCATGTAAGCCAAACATTATATCACACGAGTGAAAATTCATATTTTGCTGATTCTGAAGAATTTTATAAAGCATTTAAAGAAAGCCTTTGATAGAAGAAAATGCAAACATGTACATGGCTAAAAAGGCCGCTATTCATCTGGAGTAGAGCATCAAATCCACCGCTGCAAGAATATAGGAGGAACAAAAAGAATATACAAGAAGTTCTACCAGAAATCTTGTTCCTTTTAACAAGGAAAAAACCTACATTTCATAGGATTGGTGACAAGTACAAACCCACGTGAAGAAAAACCGATAATAAACTAGAGAGTGAGAAACCCAATGGTTGCAGCAAGTTCAAGCACATAAAATTCTCCAATCCAAGCTGAAGATATGGAAAATATCAACCAACACAAAGATGTCTAAAATTCCAGAATTTAAACTAGTTACCTTTTTGTCCAAAGGGAGCTCATATGTCACCATTCATATTAAGAGGGTGTTTGACACCCGTTTTTAGGAGAATAAAATTTTTGGAATAGTGATTTATGGGAGAATGTGTGGTTGAAAAATTATGAAAAGTTTTAGATTTATGTGTAATACTATTTTATTGGGAGAATGTGTGGTTGAAATGAAGAAGGAGAAAAAAATGAGAATGAGAATAGAATGGGTGCCAAACAGGGGCTAAATATCACTTCAAAATCAGGAATGATGATCAGAATGCTTTCTAAAAGTATTATTGATTTCGAGCAGAATGATGTGAGGCAACATCCCAATTGCCAGTGCTAGATATTTCCCTTTAAGTTACTTGGAACCTGTACTCCGCATTGGTAACATCAGGAAACTTATGAAAAATCTATAGCTTGGTCAACAGAACATATATGCACACCCAATAAATGACATACAATTTAACATGAAGGCAAAGATTACAAAGACAATGTGAACATAAAGTCGGAGAATTTACTGTAGTGCAGAATGACTGGATCGCTATGGAAAACCCGTCCAACTCCATGGCCAACAAACTGTTGGACAACCCCGTAATGGTGTTTATCTGCATGGTCACTTCAAAGAGAACACCAATGTTAAGTTTTAATCCAGTAAAGGAAGTCTCACATTCTGCAAAGGGCTGAAAAGTGTAATGCCACCATAAATTGAAAACTAGTACATTAGAAATATTTCCATTATTCTATGATTTAAAAGGACCAATGTGTTATGATGACTGAATTCAGTAAGCATGGAATCAATAATACTAAAAATGTACATTATATCTATGTATGCATGAATTAAGTCTGTGATCGTCTTTGTGCATGTGTATCAATACTAGAATGGAGATTACATAACATACATGAAAAATAAAACATTACTAATTTATACCAGAAGTATAAACACATGTTAATTAATGGTTCTGATGAAGGAAAAAAAAAAATATCGATAACAACATATCATGTTTAAGAGAAAATAGTAAGCAAATAGAAGATGACTTACTGTATTGTTTTGCCGATTTTGTTAAATTCCACTCCTGGGGCACATATTGATATTGCATTATCGAGGCATTCTTTGGTTACCTAAAGCAAGAAACAAATTACGCTCAAGAGATGATAAAAGTATGGATGGGTCTGAGTTAAACCGAATACAGAATGAACTTCTTAATCTTTCATAGTGGCACAACAGTATGACATATTGACATGACCTAATATAGAAGACCTGATATTCTCCACAAGCAACATACAACGCAGAAAAGTAAATGGATGAGAGTGAGGTACAACAAAGGCAATTTCTATTACTAGAGAAAAGGTAGCCAATTTATCATTATAACCAAATGGAAAAGTATAATGGAGAAAGCAGAAATGCAGCTGCCAGAAAAGCATACCTTTACCAAGTTTCTGGCTTCCTCATCAACATCTCCAACAAAATATGTTGCTGAAGTATCACCATGATAACCCTGCGTAGGACAGTAAGTTGAACAATAAAATACAGTAAAACAAACTTATAAACTTGCAGGATAAACTTAGAGAAATGGTAGAGTATCTCAAGTAACATAACATAATGCAGCAACAGGCTATAATCGCCATAAAACAACATTCCAATAACAAAGCATATTCGTTTCCAATGAGCTAGCAGGCAATTGTATAAGTACATTCGAAAACACTACATTTAAGATCTCAGCAAGTTCTATTTCAAGGTCTACAGGCTAAAGCCTAGATCTCATGGTAGACAACAGAAAATTGATTGGATAAACTGTTTGAGGTTATCATCATCCCACAGCTATTCAAATGCACCCAGGAGTTAGTTTATATATTCCGAGCAATTATCCATCTGGCAGCAAGATACAAATTTCCTTAGTAACTTCTATTTCTAGGGGAATCGAAAATACAAAAGAACGATCATATTTTACCCCCATGATTCCTTTGCATCCCTGTTGAAGGATACAGCATGGAGGAGAGGTTGCTTTAAAGTATCGATTGATAAAAGCAGCTTACATTGAGATAAACTGTAACGTCAATATTGACAATATCCCCATCCTGCAAGACAACATATACCAGAGATCTTATAGTTGTAAAAATATACACATTTTGAAACAAGGTATCCAATAACAATGGTTCCGTGCAACAAACCTCGAGAACACGTGAATCTGGGATTCCATGGCAAATGCACTCATTCACGGATGTGCATACGCTCTTTGGGAACCCTCCATAACCAAGAGGAGAGGGATATGCTCCATTGTCGATGATCATTTGATGAACTGCCTGATCAATTTCATCTGTAGTTATGCCTGGCTGCCAAGGAAAAAGTTCAGTGAATTTTGGTGAACAAGTTATACTTAATGCAGGTGAGCCTAGATGGTATACAAGGTTCAAGCAGTCTGCAGTAAAATAATCTCATAAATGTAGTTCATAGCAAAGTAAAACAGGTTGAGTGACAAGACGAATAGATTATTGACCACCAGTGCCATGCCTATTTCTTCCTTATCATTTTGAATGCCTTAACTGGGAATACAGCCTCCTCATTGGCAGTGAGAATTTGTAGTGGAGCTAAAAACTATCAACGAAGTTGATATGACAGAGATGATGTGGTAGAAATGATCAGATAATCACCTTGACTAAGGTCCCAGCATGCTGAAGAACCTGTGCAGCCAGCTTCCCTGAAGCTCTCATGCATTCTATCCCTTTCTTATCGTGCACTTCAGGTCCACTTGCAATGCCAGGTGGTTTCTTAGAATTGACATAAGGAGGCTTTGGTATGTTAGCAGGGACTGGTCGACAAGTAGACACTTTCCCTGGCCTTAAACGTTTATGCTTGCCATTTGGCAAATCTTCTATTTTTCTGTCAGCGTTGGTAGAAAATCAAGAATGTATATGTGCAACCAAGAAAGCACAAAATTTGACATATTTTAAGGTGCATGCACGCGCGCTCACACGATCAATGCACATCAAGGATTAAATTTAACAGAAAAATCGCAACCAGTTATAAATATTGGTCATAAAGATGCACAAATGAAAGGGAAAAGAACAAATCATTCAATACTCAGGTCATTTTTCACAAATTACACAAATCAAGGACTCTTACCAAGTGTCGAGAGGTGCCACGTGCAGTTTTCTAGAGATGAAGAACCGCACTTCAGAAAGTGTAAAAAGAATGTAAATAAATTCAGACTTTGTGATGTTCTTGGAAACGTTAAGTCTTTCTCCTCAAGACATTGATTTCATTTTAGTTTATTAAGAGCCTGTTTGTCATCCATTTTTGTTGTTAAAATGGTGTAATGAATAGTATTTTTTGGAGAATGTGTTGTTGAAATTTAAAGTTACTTTATTGGTTTATGTGTAGAATATTTTATTGGATAAATGTGTGGTGGAGAATCTTACTGTAGCAAACAATGTTTTGAAATAATGGATGACAAACAGGGGCTAAGTGATGTCATATTTTTGCTGTTGAGGATTAGTTGATGGTGAACCTTTGAATGCCTCTACCTAAATTGCTCAAATCAACGGTGAAATTAACCTATATTTACATGCAATAACAGAAGGTTTTTGCAATTTCTGGATCTAGCTGAATATACTTGTAGGAGAATTGCTTTCAAGCGGTGCTAACGTGTTTGGAAATTTTACATTTTGAATATGATAGTATGTTCCTTTGTGCGTTGAAGAAGCCCCAGATGGCCTGGGTGTCCCAATGCACTTTGAGCATTCAATAATATGAATATGACCTCTAGCAAGAAGCAACTACCCCCTTCATTTTCCTTTTTGGAGAAAGTATACCTTGACCACCATTTCATTGTTCATATTAAGTTGGTAGAACTGCCAAGGACATAGCATCTTTATAAGAACCCAACGGGACTTGAAGTTCAAAAAATAACTCAATAACATTGCAAGTCTTAATTATCTTAACAAGTATATTTCGATAATCAGATGATATTTCAATTGGCGAACATCAAACTAAAACAAGTAGCAAAACCTAATATCTGGATTGATCGCAATACGTCAAGCAGTTCTTAATTACATTTCAGCAGTCAAAATGCCGCCAATTGAAATGTACATGGAATACTAAATTCTCTTATAGCTTGACACTTTAACATACTAAACACTCTTACAGCTTAATGCTTAAATACGCTAAATTCTCTTATTCCTTAAGCTTAAACATACCAGCAAGTTGACATAATTCAGAAATATTGTGTACAGCATTCTGAGTCTTATCCTCTTGTTGTTGTATTAGCCAAGATATTGCAACTTTGTAGATTAAGTCAATGTTAGAGGTGAAAATGTCCTTTCATGAGAAGAGTATTCAAAGCAGAATTCCAGATTTATGTGGAATAGTACAAAGATATTGATGCAACCGCAATGAGATAAAGTGATCAGGAGTTAGATGGTGAACTCTTCAAAGCACTATCACCAGAGACCACGCAGTAGGGCAGAGTTGACAGATACATTCGAGTGCAAGTGTGCTCGTGAATTGTGGTGGCACATGCTTGAGGGAAGTGAATGCAGATACCATACCTTCTGTTGAACAATAAATTTGTTAAACTAGAAAATGTTCTCGAATTTAGCATTGACTCGTGGTTTCTACCTGTTTAAAAGTAGAAAAGTAAATATAACCCAATTTAGTACTGAAAATATTGGAGCTTGATCTGAGAAGTGCATTCACATAAATAAATTGGTACACATTTGAATGCATTTACCAATCTCATACCACAAGGACTAGTAAGGATCAAGATCCCTGCTAAAACTAGAAAAAAATAGGAAGACTGAGCTATAGGTAGAGACAGAAGTTATATTTTTTGCTAAGTGCAATTCTTTGCTAATTTCATTCTTCACTGAGAGTGTGTTTGATTGGCTTTATTTTCTATAGAAATGTCATTTCTCCACCCAAATTCCTATTTTTGAGGTGTTTGATTGACAATATTTTTCATGGAAAATATTTTCCAATTTTTAGTCGTGTGACCATATTTTCTTAAAAAAGAAGGAAAACATTTTCTTTAGGAAGTGGTGGTTTTCATTTTTCAGGTAATGTACTCTCTCTCTCTCTCTCTCTCTCTCTCTCTCTCATTTACCCTAATATTTTTTAAGTTGAATATTAAATCAATCAAACAAGTTTTAATTAATTAATAATTTCCATATAAATAAGTTCTAAGTAATTGAATTGTCTGAATTCATTTTCTATTCATGTAAATTTCATGCTCAAAATAAAACGCACACTAACAAATAATTAAACTTCAGAAAAAACTGTATATATATTAATATTTGTAGCAAAAACATAAATGTTTGTTTAAGGGTTTAGAATTTGGAGCGATATGAACCCATATCCAAAACAGTGTCCTATTAAGCATCTTAAACCCGTGAACAGTGGTTCCAAGTACCAAAGCTTTGCTTTATACTTTCTTCAACCTAACAAGAAACAAAAAATCGATGCTTGAATAGGTGAATTTGGGATGCAAATGATCGCAATCAAATTCGAATTGATTTTTTATGGACTGTAATTCCAAAATGTCAACTACATGCACTCCAGGAAAGACGCGTTAAGTGTACAAATAGTAAAAAGTTTCAAATAAAATTGCAAAAACACAATCAATCATCATTTTGTACTGATAAATTCAACAAATAGTTATCAAACCTCGAGTGTATCGGAAGAGGCGAGGAAGTGTATCTGAAGTTGGTTGAATGAAGCCGTAGTCTCCCAAAAACGAGGAGATAATGCGAGGTTGAATCGCACACCCCGCCACCATTTTTTCGCGCTCTCGCTCTCTACTTCCTTATCCATAGTCGAGGGTGCGCGCCTGTGTTATATTGTTCGTATCCCTGCATTTCAACCAATGTCGCGCTACATCCACAAGCGACTTTATTTTCATATAGACACCTACAGTCCATGTGTGGTTAAATTAAAGTAATTGATTAAAATTTAAACTAAAATCAACCACCCACATTTCATAGAATTTAGGAAAAATTGAAGCAGCGGGCCCTAACCTTTTTAATTTTTGTAAAATTTACCATAACCTTCAATTTATGCCAACGAATGTAGGGGCGGACCCATTAAGGGCCCAGTGGGGGCCAAAAAAAAATTGGTCTTCTATCGTCCATTGGGCCAAAAAAAAAAAAATAGAAGCCCACCCATGACCCAACCCAAGTCCGTCTAGTGATCAAAACCCAATTCCCTTTCCCTTTTCCCCTAATTCCTCCCTTTCCCCCAATTTCAAATTCCCCAAAGAATCCCGACTGAAGACTGGCGTGATTCTTCCCCACGACTGGCGTGATTCTTCTCGGCGAGCGTTTCTCCCCTGCATCAATTAAAAAGTTAGGGATCTTCGTTGGCACAAATTAAAAGTTAGTCTATAAAAATTGAAAAGGTTAGAGATCATTGCTGCAATTTTTCCTATAATCTATAATTTTTTTATCACATATTTCATCAACTTTTATCAAAATCTACTAAAATTCTAGTTTTTATCTAAACCAAATGAGTAATATTATTTAGTCTCGTTGGGGTTACAACCATATTTTATGTGTCGTTAATGTGGTATTAAATGACAGATTAAATTATATAAGTAATTTTATTCCACATTTTATTTAACATATCATTTAACGTCACATATACTGAAGTTTTAACTTCAGTGAAACTACATAGCATCACTCAAGCCAAACTGGAGCATACTTATAGAAACATGTTTAGGAATTATTTCTTCACCAAGTGGATGCGAGTTTATAAAAAGGATGAGCTGCGTCCTTGACGGCTCCCACCTACCCTGCTCAGACCTTGGTGAATGAGATAAATTTTAGGTTATGCCTCCAAGGGTACATGGTGGAAGGCTACTTGTAAATTTGCACTTATCTAAGAGCCAAATCCATATTTCAAGATTCGAACTCTTTACGCGACAATTTCAAACAAAACTGGAGTTTTTCCTCATTTCCCTTGGCGAGTTTATACATTTTGAAAAGGCCGTGACAGGACATAAATAAGCTTAAAATGGAATAACAATGATAGAAAGTCCAAGATACAATAAGCTCTTTTTTTTATTTTCTTTATTTTTAAAATACATTTCTCTTTCTTTTCTTTCAATTACACATTTTTCAATAAAATAATATTATGCGTAAATTCAAATTTTTTTCTTATTTTTTAATCACACATTCTCCATCAATTACTATTTAAAAATGCACTTTTTGCCAAATAATGGAGCTCAAACAAGGGCTAAGAGTGGTATTTAAGCCCTATACTTTGCATTTTCCTTGATTTTCGTTAGTAACCTAATTTTTCAAAAAAATATTTCAATTTTACTTATTTATTTTGAAACATCACCTTTAAAATAAAAAATATACTACAAGTCTCCTAAGTAATAAAATTCAAAGGATTCAGTGTTATCTCTCCGTATATTGTGGATTTTCATTACATAATTTTTCCAATTTCAATCTCAAGACCCTGTTTCGGCTCCTCTAGAACTTAATTTTATGAAAAATATATTTTATAATAGTGATTTTTTAGAGAATGTGCCTATGTGGTTAAAAAAGTAAGAAAAAACTTGAATTTACGTTACATCTATATATATATAAAAACAGAAGTGCCGTCAAAAAAAATTTCCCGCCAAAATGTACTTTCCTCTTATGGAATTCCGATTTCAAACAGTCTGTTCGTCTACCTCACGTTTGCGTTTTATGTTTTCCAAAATTCAGTCCGTCTACCCATTAATCAAACATTACAGCATGCTTT